AACACTTGCAAAGTTTCAAAGCCCCAAGGTTATTGGCGGCCTTTTGCTGTTTGCATTAGTTGCTTGTTTTCTTGTGATCTTTGATGGCTACACACACACACACACACACACACACACACACACATACACAAAAAGTTATAAAAGCTTTTAAAAGATATTTCCTTTATGACAACACCAATAACCTGAGTAACAATAACCTGAAGCAAAAATAGAAAGCCCAAAATCCTGTGCAACCTGAATCCTGAGATCTTTTTTTCCCAACGACACTCACAAGAAAATAGCAAGGCCAAAGAAGCACAACCCAAAAATGTGACACCCCCCCCCCAATTCTTTTGCAAATTTAAATGGTTGTCCAGATTTTTTTGGGAAACTGGCACAATGACAACCCAGGGAGAGAAAAGGTCACAGCAAATTAACGACTAACAAGAACCTCAGCACACTAATTTGTTAAAAGTCACCTTCTCTCAAAATTGGCTATGTCCAGGTTAACACTGTGCCACTTTCTAAATACTGTAATCGGGAATATAGTCATGGGGAAGGCAGGAGAGGAAATAATCCACTTGAGGCAAGCACAATCTCACTGTATTGCTTGCTTCACGGAACAGACTGCCCGTGGAGAGTCAATCGAAATGTAACCTAACATGGAACATAAAAGCAGAATGCTCCATAACAGGCATGGTGGCCAGGGGTCCCATGGAAACTCCTCCTTGATCTTCAGGTTAGCACCTTAGACATCCGATCTCAAAAAACTCCACACCTGTGACGCCTGTGGTCATCACTTTCTTCCTGTGATGCCTGTGGTCAACACTTTCTTCCTAAAAGCATAGTCTTTACATCAATACATTAGCGTTAAACGATTAGTAACAAGGAGTCTTTAGTACAGTGGTTCTCAACCTTTTTAATGCCGCGACCCCCAACCGGTCGTAAGTCGAGGACTACTCAACCGGTCGTAAGTCAAGGACTACTCAACTGGTGCAGCACCGTTTGCAGACTGGGACTTTTGGCGGGCTCAGCAGGGCAGAGACAGCCTGGACCATTCCTATTGGCTTTGGAAAGCCAATAGAATTAGACTCTATTCGAGAGAGTCTATTCTATTGGCTTTCAAAAGCAAATAGAATAAAAGGGAGTAGCACAGCTAAGGAAAAGGGGGGGAAATGGCGGACTGCGTTGTTTGGCGACTCCCGTGAAATGGTCGTTCGACCCCAAATGGGGTCCCGACCCACAGGTTGAGAACCACTGCTTTAGTGCATTTTGATTGACTCTCCACAATCTGATTCCTTTCTTCTAACTGAGTGTTTCTCAACCTGATAAAAACTAAAAGGAGTGGGATTCAATTCCCAGAAATATTAGCAATGTTCAAGCTAGTTGTGGGATTATGGGAGGTGAAGTCTACAAACCTTAACGTTGTGCAGGCTGGGAAACACTATTGCAATTTATCCTGACTTCAAGTCTCAAAACAAAAGAGTTCTTTTGATCTCCTTGTGTGGAATCGCCTTTGAGTCTGACCTGAACACGCTGTTCTGGGAGCCTGTTCCCTTAAACCAGTGTTTCTCAATCTTGGCAACTTTAAGATGTGAGGACTTCAATTCCCAGAATTCCGCTGAAGCCTGCACATTTTAATGTTGCCATGGTTGAGAAACACTGCCTTAAACAGAATTCAAGATTCTTTTGACTGTTCTGCTCTAGATTTATACTTGCACTCTCCCTGTGCCAAAATTCCACTTCCTCCTATCAAACTACCTCCCAGCCTTGCATGACTTGAAGTAATTTGCGTTGCCTTGTCTAGCCTGAAAAAAACAAGAGCAGAACTTCATTCCCTACACTGCTGGGGATGTCAAACAGATCATCATGCTGGAGCTGGCTTTTAAAAGGACAAGAATGAGATGGACGGAGACAAAACTATAAACATACATGATTAATTTAAAAAAAATAAACAAATAAAACTTGGGTCCAGATTATAATTTAACATTAATGTTTATTCCTAAGGTCTATAAAATAGCAAATATAATTTCAATCTTTTACACAGGGATCAGAACAGGTGGTAAAATAGAGGTAAAGAGGGAGTTCATTCATTTTCTTTACTGAGCAAAATGCAAAGAAATGTTTGTAAAAAAAAAATAACCACATATTATAAATGAGGATTACAGGGATCATTTTTTTCTTTTTCCCAACACGTTAGCTAGATTGATAATTTTACTGACTCATCACTAGGATGATAAGATTCTTTTCCTAATCAGGCCTTGATTGTTCTCAACCCATTAATATAGAATGTGAAGTTCGGATTTTGTGTGTCTGGGCCAACGGGCCTCATGTTCAACTTACTTAACTGAACAGCATTTACCATTCTGACATCTTTTTGAACTTCAGAAATGGTCAAATATAATAATAATCCAGTCCTCGTTTCCACTCATCATTAAGAGGAGCAAGAGGCCAGTTCTTCACTTGGACTTAAGGGGAATGCAACACACACAGACACACATACACACACACACACACACACACACACGCACGGTTACAAATCTTGCTCCTTCCCATTCATCTGTGGCCTCTGAGGATCTTTTCCAAGCCTTTGGCAAATGCTTCTGATCACTTTAAACATTAGCACTTTTTTTTTTTTTTTTTTTTTTTTGGGAAGTTCTCCAATAGAAGTGCCATGCACCAGAGAAGTGAGAAACAGCGCCACCTGTTGGATTTACCGTTAATTTTTATGAACAAAATATTTTGCAAAATTTGTCAAAAACACTTTACCAAAGTTGGCAAACACCTATTTATTAAAAAGAAAAATCAGTAATACAAGAATGGTACCCCAGGAGGCAACACGTCCCTTTTAAGATATTAAAAAGTACTTGGAGCCTCCAATTACTTCTCACACAATACAGTACTAAAATGTTGCTTTGGGACCATATCTCAAAATGAAGTTTGCTATGATTTAAAATAATAATCAGGGTGGATGGAACACCATGAGGTAAGGGTAATGTTGAGCCATTTTCTGCTTCAAATCAGCTTCTCGAGCTTCTGCAGCAGCAATGGAAACATTTGAGAAATACTAAAACCAGCAGTAGCTCCAGAAAGTCAAGACCTGTGCCTAGGAGATAAACAGCTAATCTTGCCTGCATCATTTGCTACAGACCGGATATTTGCCTCCAATACATTTCACTTTTTACTATCAAACAAATGTACCCAGACACTCAACCTGACAACTACATGGAATGAGGCACAGAATTCACCAAGAATGGATCAACCTACAATAAGAAAAGAATTTCACCAGACTTCCAGAAACGTATTCCTTGATATTGATGTCAGGTTGTTGAAAAAGCCATATAAATTTGATAGATATATGAATATTGACTCTGTATTCAATGCCTGGCTTGTTATTTCAAGCCAATATTCAGGTTTCCTATTTCATTAGCTGGGCGTTTGTAGCCCTTCCTAATCAGCAGGGACACAATGAAATGTCAACTTCACAGTCAACCTTGTTATGTGCTTGCAGCAGAAGTTCACTGATGTGGTTCAGCTAGGACAGACACTTCACTGCAGATAAGCACCAGTCACACACTTGCAGAATGTGTGCCAACTGCGGAACACAGAACTCAAATGAAAATCTCTCTCTCTCTCTCTCTCATCTGGTGTTTTAATTTTAGATTTTTTCCTGCTTTTTCAAGTTCCCTTTTCAGTCCAGAGATCAGGAGCCTCCTATTCAATGTAGATCATGTCTGGGCAAAGAAGCTCTGATTCATAGCTTGTGAACATCAACTCCCAGCTATACCTCAGCAACATAACAATGGGAAACCTGGCCTTTTGGATATAAATGAGGGATCCTTCACACAGCATCAGCCTTCTGTCCTTTAAAGATCTGCAACCTTTCCTGGTACGATGCAGCTATAACATATTCCCAGAGAAAGTAGCATTTGAAGAGTGGCACTAGGTCAGGGGTCTTCAAACTTGGCCCTTTTATGACTTGCGGACTTCAGCTCCCAGATTTCCTCAGCCAGGCACGCTGGCTGAGCAATTCTGGGAGTTGAAGTCCACAAGTCAAGGTGTCTTCAAACTTGGCCCTTTTATGACTTGTGGACTTCAACTCCCAGAATTGCTCAGCCAGCATGCCTGGCTGAGGAATTCTGGGAGCTGAATTCCACAAGTCATAAAAGGGCCAAGTTTGAAGACCCCTGCACTAGGTGCTACATGTAAAGCATCATGTGCTTAAAAAACAGCACAACCAAAAACAGCTGAGAATTGTTCCCTGCCTCCACTTTCCATCTTTAGGCAGTTCAACCAATCACTGCCAAAGACTTAAGTCCCCCACCCCCCCCAAAAAAATATGTTTTCAAACTTTTCTACACAATTATCAAGCAATTGTCTTTATTCAAAAGCATAAAGTATAAGCAGGGCCACGCTGGATTTAAATTTTAACTTGATTTGTAATAGCAGCAGCATGAAAAACAAAGCTGGCAATGAGCTTAGAAAAATACACATTAACAAGGCATCTGGAAAAATTGTCTTATGCATCCTTGCCCCAGAAGTACATTTATTAAATATATTTATTTATTAAATTTCTATGCTGCCTATCTCGCTGATACAGCCACTTTGGGCAGTATGGTGGAAATATAGTTTTCTTGTGTTTTTAAAAACTTTACCTTGAACTTTAACATGGTAGCCGGACTCTACAACCCCCCCCTGCAAAACTAGAATTACACCTTTCAGTAATGTAACTAAATTGATAGCAATTTTTCAAAAATAATTCCATAATAAATTTTGTTTTGCTGAACCAAAGTCTTAAAAGCTAATAGTATTATAACTTCAGTTACAAAATACTTAAAGGACTGTATAAGGAAGAGGAGAGACCATTAGTGGTTTTGCTCATTTCCTTTTACTGCTTTCAAAACAGCCCAAAACAAAGGAGGCTACGAGGAAAGACAGGAATGTCACAAAACACCAGGAATCAACAACGCTGGGGAAGAGGAAACTATTATCAAAGTTGCATGAGCTTTGGATATTCTTACCTTTCAACAGAGGTTGGAAAGTGGGGATTTCCTGCAGTTTTATGACATCCGGGTCACTGCTGACGTTCCGTGACGCCTGAGTCCCTTGGGCCACCACCACGATATCATCCATCTTAGCTCGCTGCTTGGCTGGCGAAGGGGATGCTGGGAAAAGGACATAGAGCCAACACTGTCACCATCACTTCTCCTCATCTAGCATCTCTTTTCTGGGGTCTGAGTCAACGTTGACTCACGGCAATTGCCTGGATTAGTCCTTGCAGTGTGTGTGTATATATGCGTGTGTGTATATACATACATACATACATACATACATACATACATACATATATATATATATATAAACACACACACAGACACACACATATATGTAGGTCTTTGGTTATTCGGGTTTTCTCCCACGTAAAATTGGAAGTGTCTTGGTGACGTTTCGATGAAGTCCCATTCGTCATCTTCAGGCTGGTGTTTTTGGCTTTGTGCTCCTAGAAGCACAAAGCTGGAAACACCAGCCTGAAGATGACCAAAGGGACTTCGTCGAAACGTCTCCAAGACACTTCCAATTTTACACGGGAGAAAACCCGAATAACCAAAGATCTACAAAGAGTTAATGGGAGACTAGTAAAGAGCTTGAAATAGCTATACTAGTCTTCTATTAACTCTTTGTCAGCCACAAAAGTTTGAATTTACAGTGTTCACAGTATGTGATGTCTGTCTGCAAAACATGCTTCTAGATTGGAGTGAAATGCAGAACAGGCTGATTTATATTTCGTAGACTGGGTGCCCCTCTCTCTCTCTATATATATATATAGTATGGACGTATGTATGTATATGTATCTATATAGGTCTTTGGTTGTTCGGGTTTTCTCCCGCGTAAAATTGGAAGTGTCTTGGCAACGTTTCGACGAAGTCACATTCGTCATCTTCAGGCTGGTGTTTTTAGCTTCTTGCTTTGAGCAGCAAGATGACGAATGTGACTTCGTCGAAACGTTGCCAAGACACTTCCAATTTTACGCGGGAGAAAACCCGAACAACCAAAGACCTATATACAAATACCCGCGAAAACCTCAGAAAACACATATATCTATCTATCTATATATAGAGAGAGATCTATATATAGATATATAAATATATAGAGAGATGTAGATAAAAATATATAGACACACACCACACACACACACACACACATATATATAAAGCACAGCAGAAGCAACCCTGGGCCAACATGACGCCTGTCAATAAAACAATTCCCTGGAAATACCCATTTCTCAATCGCAGCCCCCTCAGCCCCAGAATTCCCCAGCGTGGCTGGCCAGGGAATGCTGGGAGCTGCAGTCCCTCCCCCGGACAGCTGCCCAGACCGCAGACCGGCCCGCCTTCCAGCTGCCGAGCGGCCATTCGCCTTCAGCCCCTCTCCGCCCGCCGCTCTCCCGCAAGGGGCGCTGGCCGCCGGGCACCGGCCGGGAAGGCCCCGTCGCTGGCGGGCAGGGAGACGGCCCCCTCCACCCCCCCGGCCTCGGAGCCCCCTTCCGTCCCGCCGGGAGCGCCCACCTGTGGCGGGGTCGTGAGGGCGGCCCTCGGCCTCGGCGCTCTGCTCGGACCCCATCGCCAGGCAACGGCGGGCTTACGTCATCCCCCCGCGACACGGGGCGTCGGCGCGCGGCCCGGCCGGAAAGGCTCTCCGAGAGGTCTGGCCACGCCCCCTCGCCCGCCCGGCGCTTCCGCTTCCTGTCGGCGGTCCTCCGGGGTCGCCTGCGTCTGCCGGTCGTGGGAACGAGGCCCGCGTCTGTATCCGGCCCTCGGCCAGAAATGCCCCCTCCGGCCGGATGAGGTGCGTCCCTCAGCCCGTTCCCGCGCCGGGCAGAGGAAGGAGCCGCCTCGCTGGGGGTGAGCCCGGGCGGGAAGGGGAGGAGAAGGCGGGGGTGGGGAGGAGGGTCGGTGGGGAGCAGGAGGAGCAGCGGGGGGGCAAGAGGGAGTCCTTGGGCCACGGGGGGGGTCTCTCCCGCGGCCAAAGAGGGCCGTTCGCGCCCCTTTGCCTCTCCCCGCCCCCCCCAGTCCTCTTCTGGGGCCGCTTCCCTGGCCCAGCCTTCCTACGGAGGCGGCTTGTGGCTAAACGCCGAGTCTGCGCACCCAGGGCGAAAAGGGGGGTCGACGGGTGGTTTTCAACCGTGGCAAAAACCGCAGCAGCCAAAGAAGCTCACACAATCCTGGGTTGTATAAACAGAGGCATGGAATCAAGATCATTCAGCTCTCCAAAAGAGACCATTATGCATATACCCACATCCAGTTTTGGTCACCACGATGTAAAAAAGATGTTGAGACTCTGGAAAGAGTGCAGAGAAGAGCAACAAAGATGATCAGGGGACTGGAGGCTAAAGCATATAAGGAACGGTGGCTGGAATTGGGGATGTCTAGTTTAATGAAGAGAAGGATTAAGGGGGGGACAGGATAGCAGTCTTCCAGTATCTCAGGGGCTGCCCCAAAGAAGAGGGAGTCAAGCTATTCTCCAAAGCGCCTGAAGGCAGGACAAGAAGCAACAGATGGAAACTCATCAAGGAGAGAAGCAACCTAGAACTAAGGAGAAACTTCCTGATGCCTGCCTCCAGAAGTTGTGAATGCTCCAACGCTGGAAGTTTTTAAGAAGAGTCTGGACAGCCATTTGTCCGAAATGGTGTAGGGTTTCCTGCCTGAGCAGGGGGTTGGACTACATGACCTCCAAGGTCCCTTCCAACTTTACTACTATTACATACACAGACATCGATGACACAGAAAAACATCACTGTCTAGTTTGAATGTATACATAAATGACCAAGTTTGGGGACAATGGAGAGTATAGTGTTGATGCTGCCTTTTAATGTAGATTTGTTGTTAATTGCGAAGTCGTGTCCGACCCATTGCGACCCCATGGACAATGTTCCTCCAGGTCTTAATGTAGATTACGGGTCTCCAAATTTGGCCACTTTAAGACTTGTGGACTTCAACTCCCAGAATTCCCCAGCCAGCATGTTGAGTGACAGTTGAGTTGAAATCCACAAGTCATAAAAGGGCGAAGTTTGAAGATCCCTGGCTTAAAAGATCTGTCAGGTTCCTTTCTTTCGTGTATTTATCATATTTGTGTAGCTACCTACGTCAAAGTATAGTTGATCTGCTTGTAATCCTTGCCTTAGGCTAGAAATCTGTGTTCATCAAATGCCCTTTTCACTCAGGGTGTTCTCTGCCCTTTTTTGTTTCCTGCCGTCAGAGTATCTCCTCCTAAAAGCCACTGGGACCTTTGTCTCTTGGAGGTTTTGAGAACTTTTTCCCATAATGTCGGGAGATGACCTCGGGCTTTTCATTGCTTTTTCCTTCTTCATATCTGGGGTCGCAGCAAGCCTCTTGATATCCCAGGACTTTGAGGAAAGCATAGCTTCTCTCACTGCTTTAGAATGTTGTTACAACACTCTTGAGTTCACGCTGCTTTTCTTTCCCTCCCTTAAGCTGATTTCTTATCGATGTAAAGTTCCTTTACCTCCCAATTAGTCATGCCACGCCAAACCTTTTTGTGACAGGTAACTGCTGACACACCCGGTGCTTTGACTCATGATGTGGAATGTGATTATTTCACTAATGGGAGTTCCTTCTGCAGTGTTTTTACCTCCATTATCACCTCCTTTTCCTTAGTTGAAGGATTTCGAGCCATCCGGCCATCTTGGATACCTGCACCCTAAGCAGAAAATAATTGTGAACAAAAGAACTTTCCAGAGCCCATCGCACCGAGAGGAAAAAATGGCTGTCTGGACCACACAGTGCTTGGCCTGTGTATCGGCAGTGCTGCTTTTGGTCCTGGTAGAACCATCCCAGACCCAAAAGTGTTCCTCAGAGAAGATGGAAAACATCACGATCGACATCCCTGCAGCCTTTTCCAAAGGCATCAGGGGGACGGATCCGATCTACGCGCCGTCTCGGGAAGCCTGCGTGGAGATGTGCTGCTTGGAAAGAATAACAGGTAAGAGCCACAGATTTGGGGCAGAATCATGTGCCATGGTTAGAAGAAAGCTGAGGTGGCGCAGCAGTTAGAGTGCAGTACTGCAGGCCACTTTAGCTGACTGTGTTCAGCAGGTCAGCGGTTCAAATCTCACCGGCTCAAGGTTGACTCAGCCTTCCATCCTTCCAGGGTAGGTAAAATGAGGACCCAGATTGTTGGGGGCAATGTAAATATATATACATACATTGCTTACTGGTGTACACCGCTTAGAGAGTGCTCGCACTTAAAGCGGTATATAAGTCTCATAAATAAATAAATAAAGCCTCCTGGGGGTTTTATGGACTGTTGTGTATATAACGGGGTTGATTTACATTATTGCACATTGCAATAATGGTGCTTGTTTCGTTTGGTTGCACGGAGAGTCTGCTGTGGTTATACGCAGGCCAGGATCAATGGCTTGGCCTTCTCTTGCTTGCAGGTGTCCAGGAAGAAAGTGTTAAATTGTGCTCCCAGAGCACAAATTGTCCAGAACCCCAGAGCTATGTAACAACGTCACCGCTGTCTCTGTGCTTTAACATCTTAGGGAGGCTCGCCCACCACCCGTCCCTGGGGGCTGAGGAGTCCTTCAATAGGTCAGAAAAACCTGTCAGGAGGATGTAACTCAGTGTGGGAGCTAATACTTCCTCAGGCTTTTTTTTGGATTCCAGCTCCTGGGATTAATGCATTTCTGGACTTCTCTTTTTTTTCTTTTACATTTTTTAAAATTGATTTTCCAGTTTTACATTTAAATGTTTGAAAAGCAACGTGGCGGCTGGGTTGGTTCATAATTCAATAACATACAAATTTCTTTAGTACAGATCACAAACTATGACATTAAATATTTCCTCTCTTTTTCCCTGGGTATTTACTGTCTCACATTTAAATTAATACAATTCTTATTATATCAATTTAATGCAAATAACTTTTTTACATTTATCAATAATTTTTAGTTTATACATATCTTAGTCATTTTAACCTTCAATCTTTTTAGACAAACAATGCCCTGATCAGTTTTTCCCCAATTTTTAGTTTCCCATTAATATTTAAATTTAACATTTAATATTTATAGTTTCCGAGTTTTAAATAACCCCCAATTCCCTTTATTACAATTCATCCCAAGATCTTACATGTAAGACATTTCTGGACTCCTATCTGGATAGCACTAGCTGGGGAGAGCGCACCTACGTAAATCTGACCCAAAAAAGTCTTCAAATGCAACATGCCTCTTCTCATCAGTGTATCTGGTACTGCTGCATTTTTGCCGCTGACCCAGGCTGACCCCTGCTCTGCCCACTTGCTCAGTTACCAAGGCTTTCACCCACAGGCTGTCTCCATCCTCTTCCACTCTGCCTCGGTTTTCTTTTCCTTCGTAAAAACACAAGGTCCTTATCCTGGGCACTAAGAGCCAAGCTCTCGGCTTGCATTTCCTTGCTTGTGTAGCTCCCTTGGGATCCGGGATAAATTCTTTGCTATTCCGTCTAAATTTCCCCACTGGAACTGGGTTCTAAGGAATCCAATCCGCAGGATTGTGAGGAGAATAAAAAAGGATCCCAGATTGGATCCTGGAAAAAAGGATGGGATCATGCAGACTGCTCAGCGCTCCTGGGGAGAATGATGGAGGGATTTGTTTTTAACATGAGTTTGGTGAAAAGATATTCTTTCTCTATAAGAATAAAAGTTGGAATTGCAGATAGTCCTTGTTCAGTGACTACAGAGGGGACCAACAACTTGGAGATTAAGCAACGTGGTTGTTAAATGAGACTGTGAGTATGCTTACCATCTTCTTTCAGTTTTCCTTTGCTTTACAGACCTCTGGAGGATGTAAATGCAAAGATTGGTTATAAAGTGACCCTTTTGTCGCCCTCGTAACTGCAATCAGTCACTGTATAAGACTGTCACTAAACAAGGACTGCCTGTATAGGCAGGCAGGAGTGAACATCCAATAAAGATGCTGATGCAACACAAGGACAGGTTGAATAACTGCACCTGGGGCTTTTGAGATGGTGGTGGGTCCTCTATGCTTATTTATGGATTTAATTATTTTTGAGAACTCCACCTAGAAAACTCACATGGAATTACTACTAGATCAGTGGTTCTCAACCTGTGGGTCGGGACCCCATTTGGGGTCGAATGACCCTTTCACAGGGGTCGCCAAACAACGCAGTCCGCCATTTTTTCCCCCTTTTCCTTAGCTGTGCTACTCCCTTTTATTCTATTGGCTTTTGAAAGCCAATAGAATAGACTCTCTTGAATAGAGTCTAATTCTATTGGCTTTCAAAAGCCAATAGGAATTGTCCAGGCTGTCTCTGCCCTGCTGAGCCCGCCAAAAGTCCCATTCTGCAAACGGTGCTGCACCAGTTGAGTAGTCCTCGACTTACGACCAGTTGGGGGTCACGGCATTAAAAAGGTTGAGAACCACTGTACTAGATGATCATGAGACAAGTGCAAAACCTGCTGTTAAAATACATTTTCTTTGTTTCTATGCTTTCTAGATGACAAGACGTGCAACTACGTGATCTTTAACACCAGAATGAAAGGCGGTCCTCCAAATTGCTATCACTTTTATTTCCCTGCCCAGGAAACCTGTCCTGTGAAGCAAGCCTTAGGATTGCTCACGTACAGAATAATAGAAGGTAAAATGAAAATCCACTGATCGACCAGTTAAATCAGTCACTTGTAGGAAATGTCATTATATTCTCCAAGCTGTAGCCAGCTTTAAAAGATTTCATAAGTGAAACTTGGCAGACGTCCCTTCAAAAATGGAAAGCAGCAAATGTTGTTATTAAAGAAACCAAATCCTTTTCTTTCACACGCCAGAAAAATAAGTTTTCCCCAAAATCGAGCCTGTAGTGACTTCTGCTGATATCATGGGGAAATAAACAGGTTTTTTTTTCAGAGTTATTATTCTATTTGTTTGCTAATTATATATCAATGTGTGGTGGAATGTAACCCCTAATCGCAGGAGAAAAAGAGCCCGCCCTCTTGCGACCCTGGACTACATTCCATCACACAGTGTAATGCATAAGTGACTATTTTTAAGCCAGTGGCATTCTTACCTGATGGTGATATTTAGTTTTTATCCTCCTCCTTCTTGTGCCATATCCGTTATCGGACGTTGGCGATCATGTTGGTGATCCTGTTTTTATCAGCAGCTGCACGAAAAAGTGCTGCAGAGTTTTGTCCAAACCAGTCCCTTAGATTTTGAAGCCACGATGTTCTTCTTCTGCCTGGACCTCGTTTGCCTTCCATCTTTCCCTGGAGGATTAAATGGAGCAGGCTGTATTTTTCTAGGTGTCACATCACATGTCCGAAATATTCTAACTTTCGTTTTTTAATTGTTTTGATGATTTCCCTTGGCTTTCCCAGGCAGCTTATCACCTCCTCATTTCTGATCTTGTCAACCCAGCTTCTATGTAACAGCCGCCCGTAAATCCACTTTTCAAATGCTTCCAGTCTCTTCCGGTGTCCTTCTGTCAGATACCCACTCTCTACTCCATAGAGCAGGATAGGAAAAATATACGTAGCATCTGACAAGCCTGATTTTCAGTCTTAGGCTTCTGTCGTGACTGCAGAAGACCTTTTTCATTTTGAAGAATGCTGTTCGAGCTTTTTCTATCCTTGTCTTTACTTCATCGGTCGTGTCCCAGCTTTCGTGTAAATTGGAACCGAGGTGTGTGATCCTTTCAACTTTTTCTAGTGGTATTCCTTCTGAATGTATTGGTAGCTTTTATCCACAAATACTATGTGTTCTTTTTTTTGGAAAGCAAGCCATACACTTAAAAAGCACAATGATATTCGAAAGAGTCTCAGGATAGATTCTTTTAATAGAATATAAACTATGAAGAATCTCATCTTTATCACACTTCTTTCTTAAATTGATTGATGATCGTTAAGCACTTATTAGCGCTAAATTAAATTTGAGTGGAGGGCTCCTTTCCCCAGGACTGACGTGCCGGGATTCTGACTACCAGAATCTTCCAAATGATTACAGTGGCAATAGTTTCGACAAATGGGTGACTCTCTAATCTTTTGTAATCCTCGATTCATGAACCAGCCAATAGGAGCATTCTGTAAGATTTGTATGGTTTCAATGAGATTTGTATGGTTTCAAACATTTCCAACTCACCTGCCAAAATCTGCAGCCCTCAGATTTCTGGGAGAAAGGGCTGTCCAGACAAACCACTTTCAGATTCATTTTTTGAGCTTTCATATGAAAAAACGGAGCGAGGCTCTGTTTTTCCGTTCTAAGAAATTCACGGAATTAATCTTGTAATGATTTAAGGCCCATTCGTGATGGCGTCTTGATGCGTCTTGAGGGTTTTTGGTTTTTTGCTGAGGCATAGAGAATAATCTCTCTTCCGTTTCATTTTTTTAGGCAAAGAGATGCCCAAACCAGCTCCGTCCTTAAACAAAGTCCCTCATTCTTCAGTGAACGGAAGTCCAGCATCCCCACAAGCAGCTGGCTTTGGTCCTCCAAGGCCACTGGGCGGACCGGACCCTTTGCCCAGGACCTCTCAGAAACAGGAGCTCTTTGGCCCCGCAAAGCATCCCACGGCTGCAAGGACAAACACTGGGGAGACCTTTGCTTCGTCTCTGCTGCGTGAAAGCAGCAGTCCTGCCAGCACCACCCAACAATCTGCTGCTGTTAAACTGCCCTTTGCCACCCTCGACTCTTCGACCGGCAGGACTGTTGGTGCTGCAACCCTTCACAGTTCTGCTAGCCGTGTCCCCCCTTATGCCGGAAAGACAGAGGCGGCCACTCTTCCGCCACGCAGAGGCGCTCGTCCCAAACCCTCGCTCCTTTCCAAAACCGGCCCTCCCCATTTCAGCTCGTTGTCAGCCACTCTACCTAGCGGTCCACCTGCTTCCCTTCCCAATTCCCATCTTAGCGATGGGCAACTTAGTCTGGAAGGCTTCAGCCCTGACGGCAGCCCAGCCAGAAACGATTTCTCTCTGCCGAGTCACCAAAGCTTCCTCTTTGCTGCCTTGTTTTTCGAGGTGCTGTTTTTTTTCTTAGCAGTGATGCTGATAGGGGGGAACCTGTTCCGCTCACGCCAGCCACAGCGCTACACCAGGCTGGACTACTTGATCAATGACATGTACACCAATATGTGAACGTTAAGAGGGACTTGGAGACACCTCAGTGGTCCGCGTGTGGCCTTCAGGAAAAAGAAGATGGAGTGAGTTCGGCTTAATGCAGTCCTACTCGCTCAAATCACAACGTTACATTGATTTTGTAATATTTTGCTTTCTCTTACGATCTCCTTCCTCACTGATGATGCATCTACGGTAGATCTCGCCTAGTGATGGCCTATTGCTCCTTCCCAACCCAGAAAGTCTGCAGAAAGTGTAGGAGCTCAAGCCTGTTCATTTGAGGAGTACATCCGTAATTCACTTTTGGGCACCATGGGGCAAATAAGCGTCCATCAGAGCACTTCGGCTACCACTTCTTTCCAGAGTCGATCAAGTTTCTTTCATCCTTTGGTCTGTTACAGCCCTGGCATGAAAAATATCTGCCAAGGAGGAGAATTATTTGAATTTTAAAAGGCAAAACATTGATTTGGGTCCTGGAGTGCAGTGCCAACACTGTGTGCAAAAGTCACATAGAGCAAACAATGCGTAGGCAACTGTTCATTTGTGCCACCCTTCAAATTGGCCAGGTTAGGAAACACACAACAATTACTACCTTAAAGGGTATAACAACAGAATCTTGGTAGGCTGACAAGAGTCTCTCTCTTCTTGCTTCTTGTGCACAAGAGAATTAAGGTGGGGGAAATCTTCCGTTTCTTTCTTACCTTGTTCTGATTTTCTGACCTGGGGTTTCCTTAATGGCTGACACAGACTTTCCTCTAGGCCAGGGGTTGGCAACCTTGGCTCTTTTATGACTGGTGGACTTCAACTCCCAGAATTCCTGAGCCAGCATGGGGGAACTATGGCCCCTTCATGACTTGCGGATTTCAACTCCCAGAATTCCTGAGCCAGCCTGGAAACCTCTTCCTTTCCCCTCAGCATGGCTGGTTTAGGAATTCTGGGAGTTGAAGTCCACGAGTCATAAAAGAGCCAAGGTTGCCCATCCCTGCTCTAGGCTGTCTCTCTAATCTATAGGTTGTTTACACCATTTAACAAAACTAGTTAAGTGTAAAATTTGGACCTGGGGGGGGGGCAGCTTTTTGCTCCAGAATTGGCTCTGCCTTCTGTTCTGAGCTGATTTAATTTTTTGAATGTTAAAGTCGGCTACAGCGTAACCCAGTGTTTCCCAAACTTGACAATTTTAAGGCATATGGACTTCAACTCCCAGAATTCCACAGCCAGCGATTCTGGCTGTGGAATTCTGGAAGTTGAAGTCCACATGCCTTAAAATTGTCAAGTTTGGGAAACACTGGCGTAACCCAAAGAACGGCAAAAACCAGACCTTCTGTTCTTAATGCTGAAGTTGCTCTGTGATTGGGTGGAATTCAGTCCCAGTATCTCCTGACCTCAGCACTTCAGCTGGAGATGCCTTCTGTCTTCAGCTCCTTAAAGAGAGGGAAGGAGTTCAGCAGCTGCATCCGTGGCCCCCTTCTGCAGAGTGGGCAACCACGGCCTCTTTACAACCTGTGGATTTCAACGCCCAGAATTCCTGGGCCAGCGTTGTCCATCCCCTGCCCTGCAAGGTCATTGCTGGGATGGTTTTGCATTGAGCTGGGATGCCACATCACGCTGGATTCCATTTAAAAACATAGCTGGGATAGAAAAGGATCTTTTATTCGGTTTCTGGTGTAGAAATCCAGGCGCAGGCAGTCGGATGAAATTGACCAGTCTCTCCCTTGGGCCAGCCTACAAAGCTGCTAATATGTGAGGCTGTCAGTTTTTAACAATCTCATTTTCCTTTATATGGAATAAGAAATTGGCTTATGTTAGTGCTCACCGTACAGGCAGTCCTCCGCTTACACACATTGTTTAGCAACCCATTAAAAAAAATCACAACGGCACTGAAAAAAGTGACAACCGGTCTTTGCGTGACCGACGGCGTCCCCATTTTTTCTCAGCTTTCCCAGCCAGCTTCCAACAAGCAAAGTCGGAGGAAGCTGGGCTCACTCAACAATTGTGTGATTCATTTCACCACTGGCAAAAAAAAAAGATAAAAATGGGTGTGACTAACAACTGCCTTGCTTAGCGATGGAAATTCTGGCTCCAATTGTGGCGGAAGTCAAGGTTGCCTGTATGCAGCTACAAAACTCAGGAATAGCCACTAGATGGCGACAGAAGGAGAGTTCTATTTCCTTGCTGCCCCCTAGTGTTTATGCAGATTCTTGCAGCTCAGATGTAATATTTTTAAACTAGTTTTTAACTTAATTTCCCCACCCCCTTGGAAGTGATTCTTCTGTCAATTATTTAAGCAATAATAAAGTTTGAATTGATTTAAAAGGTTTAAAATAAATCCAAGCAGTGTTCGGACAATCATTTCCTTTTTAATACGTTGTATTCTATTTCGTGATCGGTTTGAAGCGGATCTTTTCAATCCTTTGGAGTGCTGCTTTCCAAGAGGTATCCTCTAACTCAAATTGTAGATCTGAAGTATGCCATTTGGAAAAGGCTACAAAGCATCTTCTGGTTCTTTTGTGCCTAAGGTGGGACTAGAACTCATCGTCACTTGGATTTTCAGCCGGCTGTGTTTAACCTAAAGGAGGGGGGCACGGTGGCTCAGCGGTTAAAGATGTTGAGCTTGTCAGCTGGAAAGCTGACAGCCCAGGTTGGAGACCCAAACGCCATGCGATGGGGTGGCTAAAATGATAATGATAAATTTGCTTACTACATAAATACAATAAAATGAACGGTAGAGGGCAGCAAAGATTAAAAAGATGCGGCTATTCCCTTGCAAACGGGCCTGGTGACTGTCGCCTTCATCCCTTCTTCCCTTGGTTCTTTTCCCAGGGAGACTCAGCAGCAGCAACACAGAGAAAAAACAGGGATGGCCACCTGCACTTCTGCAGCTGTGCCCCAGCCTGGAATATCCAGTTGGTTCTTGACCATCAGTCTCTATCCAACACGTTACAGGAGGGCCTGGTCCTACCCGGAAAAAAACGCTTTAAGGGCTACAGCCCTTTGAAAAGATATCAAATATCTAGAACGGGGGTCAAACTGCTGGCCTGCGGACCGGTTTCCTCATACCGAAGCCGTGCCCACACCATTGCCAGCAATGCAGAGTCGTGATACGTCACGACACATCATGTGACGTGGCGAGTTTGACACCCGTGATCTAGAATGTGTCCTCAGTGGACCTCTTCAGAGACGGCACTCTATCATCTATCTATCTATCTCATCCATCCATCTAGCTTATCATCTATCTATCATCTGTCTACCATTATCTATCTATCTACCATCTGTCTATCATCTATCTATGCTACTGCTATATCATCTATTTCTATCATCAGTCTATATCAGTGGTTCTCAACCTTTCTAATGCCGCGACCCCATAATACAGTTCCCCCATGTTGTGGTGACCCCCAAACACTTATACATCACCAGGTGCCAGGGGCGTGGCCAAAGAAAAGGGGAAAAAAATGGCGGACAGCCTTGTTTGGCAACCCCCGTGAAATGGTCGTTCGACCCCAAATGGGGTCCCAACCCACAGGTTGAGAACCACTGATCTATATCATTATTTGGCTATATCTATCATCTGTCTATCATTATCTAATCTAATCTATCGCTTCCTATGTGAGCGTAGTCTGAAAGTTTAGTTCCAGTTAATTCACAGCGACGGACTCCTATTTTGGCTGATACAGTAGCTGTAAGGAGCGATCTTTACCATTGGATATTGATACCCCATAGTAGTTTTCTCAACCTTGACAGCTTTCTCAATCTGACTGGGGCATTCTGGGAGTTGAAGCCCACCCATCTCAAAGCTGTCAAGGTTGAGACATTCTTCTAGAGCACGGTGAATAGGAAGAGAGATGTAGCAGGGTTCATGAGGAAATATCATCCTGATGAGAGAACCAGTTTGGGGCAGTGGTTAAGGCACCAGGCTAGACACCAGGAGACTGGGAGCCTTCATTCATCTCAGACAGTTGCTCCATCTCAGCCCCTGGGAAAAAGACAACCATAATCCACTTCCAAAAACACAGCCAGGAAAACTGCAGGGGCTTGTCCATGGAGTTGCCAGGAGTGGAAGGCAGACACACAAGCACAATTCTTACACAGCAGGGGGTGGGAAGAAGTGAACAAGCAATTCAGCAAATTACCCTGGCCGGATGGACAAGTAGTCCTCGAGGTATAGACAGAATTGAGTCCCAAATTCCCGTTGCTGAGCGAGCCAGAAGTGAGTTTTGCCCCATTTTACAACCGCCGTAGGTCACCAAAGGGGATCACAAGACCCCGGGATGCTGCAACCGTCATAAATGTGAGTCAGTGGTCAAGCTCCCGAATGTAAATCCTGTCGTCGTCGGGATGCTGAAAGGGTCGTGTGAAAAATGCTCACGAGTCACTTTTTTCAGTGCCGTTGTAACTCGGAACGGTCACTAAACAAAGGGTTGTAAGTCAAGGGCTACCTGTATCTGTTGGGGTGGGGGTAAAAAAAATTCGAGTTGTTGATCACAACTGCCACCAAAGAGCCACCCCCTTTGCAAGGCGCACCATCCATGCGGCACACCCGAGGGCCTTCCGTGGGCTGGCAGGGCAACAGTGGCGAAAGCTGACCCTGGGCTGGTCAGTGAGGGCTTGAAAGAAGAGGTCCTGTCGCTGCAAGGACTCAGAATGCCGTCTTGCAGGAAGCTTCAGACTCTGCCTAAGGAGGCCTGGCCAGGATCTGCCGGGCATCCTGGGGAGGAAGGTGGGCGAGTTCACCTCTGTTGGCTTTCTCTCTTGAAATCCCGGGGAGAGGGGGGAGCAGGGGCCTGCGATGGGCGCCTTTCCTAAGGCCTGTGTTGAAAGAGCAGAGATAACAACGGTGTGGTTGCCACACACAGGAAGATCAACGTTGTGATAGAAAAAGCAAGCAAGGGGCGCTGAACGCTGGAAGGCCTTTGGGGAATTCCAGCTTATAGGTTCTACGTGAGAAGCCACGTCTCTCAATCCTCAAGTTACGATCGCCACTGAGCCCAGAATCTCTGTTGCTAAGGGAGACAATTGTTCAGTGGATCCAGGCTTCCCCTTTGACTTTGCTTCTTATAAGGTCACAAAAAAAGGGAACCTGGGGGACACTGCCAACCGTCATAAATAGGAGTCCTGAATTTTGATCACATGACCCTGGGGAGGCTGCAATGGCCGTTAAGTGTGAAAAACGGCCATGTCACTTTTTTCAGGGCTGTTGTAGCTTTGAACGGTCACTAAAGGGACTTTTGTAAGTTGAGGGTTACCTGTGTACTGCTAAAACACTTGCATCTCTGTGTCTATAACCTTCAACTGACATTTTTGACCCAAAGTACCTCAAATGGGCTAATTTACAGAAGGTGCCAACATCTGCGCCTGCACACACCAACAATTTCACATCCAGATGAGATGAGAGGAAGAGGAGGACGAGGCAGGCTGACGACAGGGAGGAAATTCCCAATTCTAAATGCCAGGCCCGGCTACGGAAGGGATGGGAATAAGAAGTCAAGAACCGTTCACAATTTGAATGGATCCTCTTTCAGCACAGGGGAACACTTCTGCAGCTGATCTCTTGAGGTGCTGAGATTTGAGAAAAGGAATTACAAAAGCCAATTTCATTAGGAAAGAGCCAAGTTAGCGTTCATTACAGGGGCAATTAAGAAGAGGCCAAAGTGATTTATTGCGCTGTGGATGTTAACTAGTTCATTAACTGCAAGAAAGCCAGAATCCTATCTACTACATCTTGACAGGTAATTCCTTGAGTCTCTCATTTCTTTTTTGCCATTCTTCCTTTTCAACACAAGGTGTGTTTGTTTGTGAGTCTGTGAAGGCACATACTGTATACAACTTTCCTGGGAATATGCTCCAGGCATCTCAACGCAGTGGATTATAACTTTTATTTAAATTTGTTCTAGCTGCTCAACTCCAATGGACTCTGTGCCATACAAAGAAAACCCATACAAACAGATAAAACATGAAACCACATAGATCCAAACTCATGTTGTTTGCCACTAAGAGGGGATGCTTGTTTTGAAATGCACATAAAAACGGGCCAGGACTTTGAATGACTGGTGACAGAGCCTTTCCTGGCTTTTTTTTTTTTTTTTAAATCCTTGCATGCTTCTGGTTTCTAGAAAGACAGAAAGATTTTTCACTACAGGATGTTACAAATTGCTAATTCAATGTTCCCCGGTTCTTCCAAGCACTAAAATCACAACTGCTTTATTTGAGAAGTTTGCATTGGAAAACAGAGTAGCAATGCATTGTTTGAAAGGAAGAAAAATCTCCTAATAAATTGAGATTAAATCGGGAGTTTCATAGAATCGTAGAGTTGGAAGATATTTTGGAGGTCTTCTCTTTCGTGTTTGCACTCTGCACGTTCCAAGAACTTGTTTGTCCTCTGTAAACTTCTTTTGAGATTTTAAAGGCATTCCAACTTTTTTTTACAACTGTTCTAAGGAGCAAAACAAAGAGCTCTGGAAACTAGCTTACCAGATAACCCCTATCCAGGTTTCATCATTTCTTGTCCTGGCAGTCTGAGCTACAGAAGGGCCTGGTCCTACTAGGAAAAAATGCTTAAGGGCTACAGCACTTTGAAAAAGATACCAAATACCTAGAATGTGTCTTCTCAGTGGAACTCTTCAGAGATGCTATCTATCTATCTATCTATCTATCTATCTATCTATCTATCTATCTATCTATCTATCTATCCTTCCATTCTCTATCTCATCCATCCATCCATCCATCCTATCTAATCTATCCTTCCATCCTGTCTAATCCTTCCATCCATTATCTATCTATCTATCCATCCATCCATCCTATCTAATTTATCCTTCCATCCTGTCTAATCCTTCCATCCATTATCTATCTATCTATCTATCTATCTATCTATCTATCTATCTATCTATCTATCTAATCTATCCTTCCATCCTCTATCTATCCATCCATCCATCCTATCTAATCTATCCTTCCATCTATCTAATCCTTCCATCCATTATCTATCTATCTATCCAATCTATCCTTCCATTATCTATCATCTATCATCTATCCATCCATCCATCCTATTCTTCCATCAATTATGTCTATCATCTATCCTTCCATCCTCTATCTCATCTATCCATCCATCCTATCTAATCTATCCTTCCATCTTATCTAATCCTTCCATTATCTATCCATCCAATCTATCCTTCCATCCATTATCTATCATCTATCCATCCTATCCTTCCATCCATTATCTATCTACCTATCATCTATCCTTCCATCCTCTATCTGTCCTTCCATCCTCTATCTATCTATCTATCTATCTATCTATCTATCTATCTATCTATCTATCTATCTATCTATCTATCTATCTTATCTATCTACCTACCCACTCATCTCCCCTACAATGTGACCCATCTCATGTCTGGGATTTTGTAGACAGGGCCACTTGCAGGGAGGGCAGTCAGAAAAGGCAAGATGGTGGCCCAGCTGTGCAATCAAAGCCCTGCACAAACTCACATTCATAGCTGTCACGGTGCAGGGAGTGACTTTGGGAGACAGCTGGAAGGGCTGCACCCAGAGGAACCATCTTCCAAGAGCCAGGAGTGAGGGGGGAGTGCTAAACATTTCTCCAGGGACCCTCCCTCGTTTCTTGGGTTGTGAAGGTGACGGGGAAGGGAGGAGAGAAATGTACTTTCAGATTGCAAATTCCTGTTAATGTAACCTTGCAATAATGTAGAATTCGTCCCTCTGGCTGTGCTTCCTGTCTGGACTCGGTAGGCTGACAATGGCTGTGACCATTACTTGAATTGTGAGCATCCCTCCCTGCGGATACCGCAGGCTGTAGGCTGCAAAAGGAAGGTGTTCAGTCTAGTTGCGTTCCAACAATTCTGTAGATTCTAAGGTGTGTCTTGCAAATTCTGGATTATTCCCTGGTAAGAAAGGTAGGTATCGCAATGTCCTCTGAGGGAATCTGCCTTGGAAAAAATGCTTGGAAATTGCACTGTAAGCAGAATGAGCAGGACAGGATGTCATTCTTATTATATCACGGTTGTTTTTAGGAAGCTGATGGCTTCCGATGGCGGGTCTGGAGAACTTAACTCAACCTCCGTACATTTTCACCCAAGAAAGGCCAGACGTTTGACCCAAGGATGCCTGCTCCTCCTCCTCCTCCTCCTCTGTTAAGAAAAGGAGCCTGGGATGGCAGACGTGTCCACGTTGGTCATACTTGATCCAAGGCTGCTAATTAAGGAAAGAACATAAAAGCTAACAAAACAAAGCAGAATAACAGAAGGGACCTTGGAGATCTTCTAGTCTAACCCCCTGCTTAGGCAGGAAACCATATAACAATTGCACTGATTCGCTTAACAACTGTGCCCGAAAAGATTGTAAAATGGGGCCTGACTCTGCGTGTCTCCTGTGACCGTAAGGATGCTGCAAGAAATGTCTGTAAGTCACTTTTGTCAGTGCCAAGTTAACTTTGAGCAGTTGCCAAACGAACGGCTATAAGCTGAGGACGGCTTGTAGTAAAAATATTCTGAAACACTATTTATTTTTACTTTTATTCCAGGAGAAACAGACTTTGATACATGACAAACGCCATTCGATTCTTCCATTTTCAAAAGCACGACGCGATATTTTGGAACCTGTCCTGCAAAATCCCGGATTCCACTAGAGATTTCAGAGCAGAAAGACATTTACAACTGCTGTGGTTTCAAAGGATTCGTAGGGCGAGCTAATGGGGTCCATCTGTGGAGCATTTTGCAAACTGAAAGAAAATAATGTTTCAGGGTTTGGTGGTTAAAACCTGATCCCCTTACAACAACAAAAGCATGTTTTGTCAACTAAGACTCAAGTACTCCCAAAAGGTAGAAAAAAAGAAACTTTAAGTTTTCCAGATGTCTTGATGTTTTAAATAAATAATTGAGCTGCCGAAGAACACTGGCTTGCTTTACAGATAACACAGCCTAAGCTTCTAGCCAAAATTTCTCTCGTTTTTTTTCTAAGTTGATCTATCTCGGAGTTCTGCCACCTTTACATGGTATCACACATAATGGAAATTGTTCAGATGAGAACAATTTGGAGGAGGAGGAGGAGGAGAATGGGGAAGGGGGGGTCCTTAACCCTTTATCAGCCTGTACTTCCTCCATCAAACACTCACCTTTATCAGTTGTGAAATAATGCTAAACTGTGAACACGGCTCTAAAATCACATCATAAACTAGCCGCAGCCCAGCTTAAAAAAGTCTGAGATAAATGGATCAAACCAATCTTTACTGTAGTCATTAACCAGCATACTGAATTAACTGAATAAGCTATGATTTGGCTAACTATGAGCTAGGCACGTGCAAACCCAATCAGCTTGTGTAAGTAATTGAGAGTCATTCCAATAAAGATGTTTCTTTAGCCTGTCCTGCACCACGTATGTTGGGTGAATGAAAGAAATTTACTTAATTGATCCTCTTTTATGAAGTGCCCTGCCTGAACCGCACACATTATCCCCCACATCTGCACAGCACTCTTGGTTAAAATGGGACTGGCTTGTTATGATTGTGCAAACATGCCCTGAGTGAACCACCGCAAAATCCAAGGCCAACCTGCATTCATGGCTTATGTAGTCATGGTCTACTGGCTTCTGGGCCAACACCTTTAACCACTACTAGGCCAAACTGGCTCTCTTGATGTCCTTACACAACTGTATCTTCTAAATTGGGAAGTCCAATTGCCTTCCAAGTTCCAACATTTGGGCTCCTCCATGGACACGTGACTCGCTTCGGACACTGGACAACTGAGTCAGCCGTCTGCAACGTCCCATGATCACATGACATTTTAATGTGGTTTTGATGAAAACTGGCATTTACCTCTAGTTTTCAGCCAAACTGCACTGGTAGCAAACCATAGGTTTGCTTAATGACCACAATAAAGGTCGTAAATAGGGTTGGTCATATGATCAACTGCATTACAAGCATCACATATCACAATAGTGAAGGGCAGTCTCTGTTAGGATTGTATCTCAAGGACTTATAATAGAAAGCCAGTTTGGCCTAGTGATGAAGGCACCAGGCTAAAAACCGGAAGACCCTGAGTTCTAGTCCAATCTTTAGCACAAAGCCAGCTGGGTAATTTTGAGCCAGTTACTTTCTCTCAGCCCTAAGCAGAAGACAATGGCAAACCACTCTGGGAAACCTTGCCATGCCAGTCTCTGAAACTGGACACAATTGAACAAAAGGGGGGGGGGACTTAAAAATATGATTGGTGTTCATAAAGGTTCAACTTTCCTGCAATTAAGTTTATAAATTCAGGGGGCTTTTTTTAAGCTTTTGAGTGAGCAGACCCAACAGATAGTGACTTGATACTAAGAAAAATGTGCTTTAAATTTTTGTAAATACAACCATGTTGTATTCTGTGATAATAATACATTTATCAACGCAAAAAGTGCAAAATAATTTTAGGATTAATGAAAGGTACTGTAGCCCTGTATTTATTACATTAAAAACTCTATATTGTTAATTCTGTATTTTCTGTATTTATTTTTGTCGTATTTATGTAGTGTATATTGGAGGTGGTGACCCTTTGAGAGCTGTATGCAGTGAAATTTCAATTTAATGTATGCCGATTAGTGTATATTCAAATTGACAAAGTTTCTATTCTATATTCTATTCTACTCTATTCTAAATTCTGTTCTCTTATTTTCTATTCTATTCTATTTTCTATTCTATTCCTATTTCCATTCCATTCTATTCCTATTCTATTCTATTCCTGTTTCCATCTATTCTATTCTATTTATTTCCATTCCTCCTATTCCTATTCTATTCTTATTTTATTTTATTCCATTCCATGTTATTTTATTCTTCATTCCTATATTCTATTCTATTCTATTCTTCATTCTATTCCATTCCATTCTATGTCTGTTCTATTCTATTCTCTATCCTATTCTATATTCCAATATCCTATCCTATTCTATTCTATTCCTATTTCCATTCCATTCTATTCCTATTTTATTCTTATTCTATTCCATTCCATTCCATTCTATTCTTCATTACTATATTCTATTCTATTCTATTCTATTCTATTCTATTCTATTCCATTCCATTCCATTCCATTCCATTCCATTCTATTCCACTTCCTTTAAAACTCTCTTATGGAATAAAATGTTGTTTGGAGATTTTTCTCCAGCCAAAGACCCAACCTGGAAATGCTCTTTCCTTGGCTAAGGCTCTCTTCCTTCTTCTCTCTAACCCTCCCAGTGTGTTTCCTTTCAGATGCTTTATTAGCTATGAAGGATTAAGAATTTATGAAGATGAAGTCCTGAACACTTTCGTCTTATAGATCCAGCCAAATTCAGCAATTGGATTTAATCCTCCACTCCCCATTCAGGGGGACGAAGGGATCCCCTCTTCCTACAGCCTGGAGCCAACATCGGGGTGATTTTGACACAAGGTGCGGACATATTTGGACGCCTGGATTTCTTCAGGCTGAGCGGCTGCAACGGCCAGGGAACCGGGCCGGTCGGCTCGGCTCTCCGTTCCCTGCCCCTTGACACCCTTCTCTGCCTTCACACGACTCCTAACCCGGATCTCAGCCTTGCTTCGTTGCAGAGGAGGGGGAGGGGCGGCGGCGGGGTCCACAGACAGCCGTGGAAAGACCCACCGGCCCAACACGCGTCCTTCAACCGTCGCTTAAGCTGGTGCCCCGTGCAAGACCCGTGTACGGCCCCGACGTGCGTGGGAACGCAGGTCCCGGGGCAACGAGCAGAGCCGAGTTTTCTGCCGGCGGGCTCGCTCCGGGCGCGGCGCCCCCTGCAAGACAAAGGGGACAAAGCCGAGCCAGGCTCCTCGGGAAGAAAGGCGTCGGGCGGGCGGGCGGGCAGCTCCCTGGCCGCCGATCCCGCTTCGCCCGGCCGGCCCGGCGCGGCGCTCTGAGGCGATTCCCCTCTCCCCCCCCCGTGCCCCTCCCCCGTCCCCCCTCCGCCGCGGGACGCTTCACCTGGCGCGAGCGGCGCCGCCTTTGTGCCTGCGCGCCTGCCCCGAAAGTAGTTCCGACCAGGCCGCGGCCAGAGCGCGCGCGGACGCCGCTTTCCTGCGTGGGGTTGGGGGGGGCAAAGGAGTCCCTCCGGAATGCGGCAGGGGCGGCTCCTGGCGGCGGCGTGAAGGGGCCGAGCTCGCCCGCGCCGTCGGAGCCTCCCTCGGCTGCCTGCCTGGCTGGCTGGGAGGGAGGGAGGGAAGGAGCGCCGCGTCGCCTCTGGAGGCGGCTGCGTGAGGCGGAGGAGGAGGCGGAGGAGGCGCCCGCCTCGGCCAGCCCGGCAGCGGCAGCAGCAGCAGCGCCAGGGCGGAGACGGGATGCGCCCCTGCGCCGCCCCGGGTTCCCAGCCAGCCGAGGGGGAAGCCTGAGGAGGAGGAGGAGGCGGCGAGCCGGCGGGGAAGCCGCCCCCAGCCCCACCTGGGCTGCAGCAGGAGGAGGAGGAGGAGGCGGCGGCGATGAGGCGGAGGAGGATGAGGACGGAGGGCCGGGCCCGCGTCCCCCGCCCGCGCCGGGCGCCCTCGGCCCAGTAGCCGCCCCCCTCGGAAGCAGCATGAGCAGGCAGCCGAGGAGCCGCCGACCCCGGCCGGCCCCTGCCTCGGCTCCTGGGCCGCCGCCGCCGCCGCCGCGCCGGTGAGGGCGGCCAAGGGAAGATGGGCGCCGTCCTGCCCAGCCTCCTGGTCTGCGGCTTGTGCGCGCTGGCGAGAGGTGAGGCCGGGCGGGCGGGCGGAGGCGGCTGTCCGGGGACCCCGGGAGGCTCGCTGGGCCGGGCTGGGCGCTTCCCCCTCCGTGGGGCTGTGGGGGGGGGGACTCGCCGGGACTCTCCCCCGCTTAAGGCGGCCGGGAAGCCCCCGGAAAGGGCGCCTCTGGCTGGCCGGCCCAAGCCCGGCGAGCGGAGCCTTCGTAGGCGAGGAGTCCTCGGCTTACGGCGCTTCGTTTAGCGACCGCCCAAAGTTACACCGCCCCTGACAAAAGTGACTTCTCACGTATCATCATCATCCCCTGGGGCACGTGATCCAAATTTGGATGTTTATTTATTTATTTATTTAATGAGACTTATATACCGCTTTAAGTGCAAGCACTCTCTAAGCCAGTGTTTCTCAACCTTGACAATTTTAAGGCATGTGAACTTCAACTCCCAGAATTCCACAGCCAGCATTGCTGGCTGTGGAATTCTGGGAGTTGAAGTCCACATGCCTTAAAATTGTCAAGGTTGAGAAACACTGCTCTAAGCGGTGTACACCAGTAAGCAGTGTGTGTGTGTGTGTGTGTGTGTGTGTGTGTATTTACATTGCCCCAACATATACACACACACACACACACACACACACACACACACATATATATATATATGTTTTCTGAGATTTTCGCGGGTGTTTGTATGTAGGTCTTTGGTTGTTTGGGTTTTCTCCCGCGTAAAATTGGAAGTGTCTTGGCGACGTTTCGACGAAGTCCCATTCGTCATCTTTCAGGCTGAAAACACCAGCCTGAAGATGACGAATGGGACTTCGTCGAAACGTCGCCAAGACACTTCCAATTTTACGCGGGAGAAAACCCGAACACCAAATACAGATATCATATATATATATATATATATATATTTACATTGCCCCCAACAACCCGGGTCCTCATTTTACCTACCCCGGAAGGATGGAAGCCTCATTTTACCTACCCCGGAAGGATGGAAGGCTGAGTCAACCTTGAGCCGGTGAGATTTGAACCGCTGACCTGCTGAACACAGTCAGCTAAAGTGGCCTGCAGGACTGCACTCTAACTGCTGCGCCACCTCGGCCACGTCCCGGGGTCGTCTTTGGCGACCTCCTGAGAAGCAGAGGCCCTGGGGATTCACTTAACGGCCGGGTTACTAACTTAGCAACTGCAGCAATTCGCTTAACAACTGAGGCAAGAAAGGTCATGCAATGGGGCAAAACTCGCATAACAAATGTCTCCCTTAAGGACAGAAATGTTGCTTTCAATTGGGGTGGTAAGTGGAGGGCTACCTGTGTACAATGTTTCATATGGTTCATTTCGGGCTGGGAGGAAACAAAAAGGGCTCCTGGGAATCCAAGATAAAACCAGGTTTACTTTTAGGGGCCTGATTGGGGTCCCCCCCCCATCCAAACTAGCTTGCATGTTGCTTAATCAAAATGTGCTCGGTATCCACACAGTTCTTGCATTAGTTCTCAATGGGAGGAAAATGACATGGCTGCTTCTTCGTTTTTCCGTAGGGACCTGTGTCAGTCTTGAAAAATTCTCCTTCCAAGGATGTTTTCTGGGGGTTTTTTTAGATGAACTTTCAGAGGTTGAACCGGTATTGGAGGGAGTCCCAGAAAATCAGTAATAATGGGGAAAGTATGTTTCTATTCCAGGAATATTTGCCAGATAAGCTGTTTTCCTATAGAAATCATGTGCATGCTTAAATTGTTGGTGGAGTATCACATTTTCTACTTGAAGAGTCAGTCAGAGAGAGAGAGAAAAGATATTTGCATAAACTTTTTTCCTGCATAAAATCTACTTGTGCCGTGTTTTCTATGAATAATCAGATTAAGGAACAGCCGGAGCAGATGTGGAAGATTCAGCATGGTCCATGACAAAGTGTTTTTGATTTTTTCAAAACGAAAGTCCTCCTATGTATTTCCATATTTCTGTTAAGCTTTATAAACCTTTGCCATATATGAGGAAAAAAGATAGTGTATCGTCCATGCTGCCTTTTATTTTCCCTATGTTGATGCCAGAAATAGAATTTGGGACAGTTATCAATAACTTTCCATTTTAGATTTAATTGGAATTAATGGAGATGATGTGAAAGAAGCATTCCTGCTTGGAAAAGAAAAAGAATTAGGTTCTTGTTCAGGATTTATTGCAAAGAACACAGCTGTCCAAAAGCAAGCTGGCATCTTGTTTGTAGACCTGATAAAAAATTAATAGCAGTCGGAGGCTATTGTGGACAATCGTCCTAGTGGACAGCACTTAAATATGAGCCAGCCGTGTGCAGCAACAACCAAAAAAGCTAATACAATCTTGGTTGCATAAACAGGTATAGAATCAAAATCACGTGAAGTATTAGTACCGCTTTATAAAGGCTCAGTAAGACCACACTTGGAATACAGCATCCAGTTTTGGTTACCACATTACAAAAAAGGTGCCGAGACTTTGGGAAAAGTGCAGAGAAGAGCAACTGAGATGATTAAAGGCCTGGAGACTAAAACTTATGAAGAACGGCTGCAGGAATTGGGTATGGCCAGTCTAGAGAAGAGAAAGACTAGGGGTGACCTGATAGCAGTCTTCTAATATTCTATGTATTCTTCGCGGCCAGAGAGTCTGCCACAAAGAAGAGAGGGTCAGTTTATTTTCCAAAGCACCAGAGGGCAGGACAAGAAACAATGGATGGAAACTAATCAAGGAGAGCAGCAACCTGGAATTAAGGAGGAACTTCCTAACAGTGAGGACAATTAACCAGTGGAACAGAAGTTGCCTTCAGAAGTTGTGGGTGCTCCATCACTGGAGACTTTTAGGAAGAGACTGGACAGCCACTTGTGTGGAATGGGGTAGGGTTCTCCTGCTTAAGCAGGGGGTTGGACTAGAACAGGGGTCCCCAACCCCCGGTTCACAGCATGCCAGAAACCGGGTCGCACAAACAAGAGAAGCCCCATCTGCAGAATGCAGCAAGCATGTGAATCCAGGCCCCCTCCAGTCTGTGGAAAAACCTCTCTTCATGGAACCGGTCCCTAGTGCCCAAAAGGTTGGGGGCCGCTGGACTAGATGACCTCCGAGGTCCCTTCCAGCTCTTATTCTGATTGGTTGAGGCCTGGAACGAACTAAATGAAGGAGTGAAAAAGTTCAGGTGGTAGAGTAGACCTGTGTTTTCAAAAATGCCAGCACATCCAAGATATGTGAAGCATGTCCTCGGATGTGCTAGCTTCAGATTCCACCCCCTGAAATGAATGGAACCAAAACAGCCAAATGTCCTTATTTCTTCAGAGATCATTTAGGGCAGAGGTCCCCAACCTTTTGGGCACCAGGGACCCTTTCCGCGGACCGGAGGGTGCGTGGTTTTGTGTGCTGCCTGCATCCCGCGGATGGGGCTTCACTTGTTTGTGCGGACCAGTTGTGGGCATGCTGCAGCCCATGGGTTGGGGACCCCTGATTTAGGATACCGCCAAATGGCCACATTAAAATATCCATGAACTGGTAAGAAAGTGCTCAAAGCCTATTATGTTTTAGTGATGAAGCCCCCCCCCCCAAAAAAAGGGTGCTGCTGGTGGCCTTCCTGTTTTAATACAGAACAAGATTAAGGAAATTGTCCCTGATTTTCCTAGGCTTCACCTTCCCTCCTGTTTGCTGCTTCAAGCATCCCACCTTGTAACTCTCAGCTGGGAAGTGCTGTGTGCCTGTGACCTCTTGCAGCCAAGCTGTTTCTCACTAGGCGTCTAGTGCTTTCCTAAAAGAATGTTAAAGCTGTGCTAAACCTTCTCCCATTTATTGTCATTAGGTCTAACCTTGGTGTTACTTTCCCACCATCTCTTGCCTTCCTTTTGGCAGAAGCTGTGAAAACCCTGTAGGTGTATGAGGGTGATGGGACCACCCATGGGCAGCTGGCACAACCCTAATTTGGAGGGTTTAAATCAGTGGTTCTCAACCTTCTCAACCGGTCATAAGTCGAGGACTACTCAACCGGTTGTAAGTCGAGGACTACTCAACTGGTGCAGCACCGTTTGCAGAATGGGACTTTTGACGGGCTCAGCAGGGCAGAGACAGCCTGGACAATTCCTGTTGGCTTTTGAAAGCCAATAGAATTAGACTCTATTCAAGAGAGTCTATTCTATTGGCTTTCAAAAGCCAATAGAACAAAAGGGAGTAGCACAGCTAAGGAAAAGGGGGGGAAAAATGGTGGACTGCGTTGTTTGGCGACCCCCGTGAAATGGTCATTCCACCCCAAATGGGGTCCCGACCCACAGGTTGAGAACCTCTGGTTTAAATCAACCTTCCATGCAACACAAAATTTAACACTTTCTCAAGACCCATTTCTTTGCACATAGGTTTAGCCTCTTTCAAAGAAGGGTTCAATTTGCGTTTACAAGAAACCTGTAAGCCTCATGGACAGCATCAGCCCAGCTTTAACATAGACCATATCTTTATGGAAGACAAGGCGAGAGAGAGTGCCCACAACAGCTTAAAGTGGGCAGACCTTCACCTTTAACTGTTATGGAAGAAGTATGCTA